TCTAAGAAACTAGTAATGGGGAGACCAGATTCCAAATCCAAACGTAATGCTGCCATCTGGAGATGGACACCTGGATCCAGCTAAGTCTAGAAGGTATCAATGAAAACACTGGAGGCAGGCCTGGTCAGGGCATATCTGTGATTTCAGCATTGGTGTGAGTGTGTATGTGTGTATGTGTGTGTGTGTGTGTGTGTGTGTGTGTGTGTGTGTGTGTAACAGAGTTGGAGGTTGGCCTAGGCTAGATAGTGATGTCCTGTCTCTAAACAAAACAAAACATGAAAAAGGAAAGAAAGGGCTGATGAGATGGCTCAAAGGTTAAGAGCACTTGCTGTTCTTGCACAGTACTGGAATTTGATTCCAGAACCGACATGGTGGTTTTCAACCATCTATAACTCTAGTCCTATACAACAACTTCTGACTTCTGCAGGCTCCAGGCATGCATGTGGTGCATTTACACACGTACAGGCAAGGCATTCATATATGTTTAAAAAATGGGCTGGAGAGATGGCTCAGTGTAACCATTGTGTACTGTTCTTACAGAGGACCTGAGTTCAGTTCTCAGCACCCACGTCAGGTGGCTCACAACAGCTTAAACTCCAGCTTCAGGTGACTGTTGTGGGATATTTGTACACTGAGAAGTATTGCTGTGGTTGGTGTAATAAAAAGCTGAATGGCCAATACCTAGGCAGAAGAGATAGGTGGGATTTCCCAGCAGAGAGAGGAAGAGGATAATTGAGACACAGGAGATGCCATGGAGACATAGAACGAGTCAGACACACAGAGTGAGAGAGAAGTAAAAGCTCATGATAGATTGTAGATTAATAAAAATACTGGTTAAGTTATAAGAGCTAGTGGGACAAGCCTAAGTTAAGATTGAGCTTTCATAATTAAAAATAAATCTGTGAGGGATGATTGATAATATGAACAAAGGAGTCAAGACCATGATGGGGAAACCCACAAAATCAGCTGATCCGAGGTAGTGAAGAGATCAATGACTCCATTCTAACAAATGGGGAACCTGCATAAGACTGAACTAGACTCCTTTAACATGGGTGACAGTGGTGTGACTGGGACAATATATGAGGTCACTGGCAGTGGGTCCAAGATCTAACTCGAATGCACAAGGTGACTTAGTAGAGCCCATTCTATATGGAGAGATACCTTGCTCAGCCTAGGGGTGGGGTGTGGGGAGGAGCCTTGGTCCTGCCTCAAGGAGATGATGGGATACTCTTAGTAGACTTCCTAGAGGAGGCTTTATCCTCTCCGAGGAGCAGATGGGAGGTAGGGTGGGGAGCCAGAGGAGAGGAGGGAGGGTGAACCTGGATTGGAATATAAAAATAAATTAATAAAAAGACTTAACAAATCAGTATTTGTATCATTATTTGGGAGCTGGTGGCTCAAAGAACAGTCCAATTACAGGTGCCCCCACACCCCTTGACACCTGTACTCAGATGCACATACCCACAGACAAACACATAATGAAAAGAATAAAATAATTGAAACAATTTTTTGAGACAGGGTTTCTCTGTGTGACAGCCCTGGATGTCTTGGAACTAGCTCTGTAGAGTAAGCTGGATCCCAGCTCCAGGTGTCCATTTCCAGATGGCAGCATTACCTTTGGATTTGGAATCTGGTTTCCCCATTACTAGTTTCTTAGACACTGAACAATTGTGGAGGCTAAAGTCCCAAACTTGGGTGTGGATAGAGCCTTCTGGCCTCTTCCCAGAAATCTTATGGTTACCTGAGCATCATTCCTATCTGTAGACCAGGCTGGTCTTCAACTCATAGAGATCTGCCTGCTTCTGCCTCCTGAGTGCTGGGATTAAAGGCATGTGTCACAAGGACTGTCTTAAGAGTAAATAGACCTTGAAGGAAAAAAAAAAGGCTTTGAGAGAAAAAGTAGTCTCTCATCTAAGACCTAGATGAAGGGGAGAGAAGTTTAGTTTGTTCTGAGTGACACCCAGTGGGAGATGACTCTCCCAGGGCCTCTGAGGGGTTGGGGGATCACCCTAGGAAGCATCCTTGGTAAGAGATGGGTCTGCAGTTGTTCTGGGCTATGGTTTGTATCTGGAAGTAACTAGTGAACCCCAATGATCCAGGACTTGTATGTGTGTGAAAAGGGGGTTCTCAGCCAGAGTTCTGTCCTGTGTACTTCTCTTCTGTCTGATGGGAACCCTAGATAAGCAGAAAAGTCTTGCAGAGCTGCCTAGGAATCCAAGAGTGTTTCCAGGGAATCCCAGTATCCTTTGCCTGGGTGGGACCTCGGGTGGAGCCTAGGCCTGGGGAAAGTTATTCTCCAGTCTAGAATGCAGAATGATCAGTTCTGGGGAGGCTGGGGGTAGAAGGTCTTTCAGTGGTTCTGCCTGGGCTCTGGGCTTCCCCCAATTCCCTCTTTAGAGACAGAGGCCACCTAGGGTATGGGAGGAGGGGCAGCCCAAGCTGCATTTCCACTTGGAAGCCCTCTTTATTTGGCTTGGGACAGAGAAAGACTGGGGTCAGAGTGCACACATCTCCATGGAAACAGCAATGAGCCTGGCCCCTAGGGAACCCTAGTCATAGTAGGGGGTCTTAGGGTTTTTTTTTTTTTTTGACTAAGAGGCCTGGGCCTTATCTTAGGCAACAGCTTTTACAAAATCCCAGCCATGAGGCCTGGGGGAGGCTGACATGGACTTCAGTCAGGGCCACATGGAGCAGCAGCAGCAGAGCAGACTGAGCCTGTTAGGCCTGCAGGCTCCAGGCAGTAAAACACTGAGCCCAACAGCTAGAGTGTGGAGTCTTAGAGACAAGCCTTGGAGAGACCAAAGAAGGGTTAGCTGTGCTGTTCCTGTGTCCTGCTCCACTCATGGCTCACCCAGGAACTGAGCCTCACCAGCTTGCCTAAGGCTTCCCTCAAAAAAATAGCTCCTCTGACAGTCTCAGAACATCCAGGCTGCCGGTGCATCTAAACAGGTGCCCCACAGAATGGAGATATTGACTTGGATCCTTTTGGGAGCCTGGTATGGGACATATGCAAACCTTGGATTCTTTTTCCCCAGGATTCTACCTGTGGAGTCCAATGTAGGCACTTTTTCTGCCTGGGAGTACTATAACATATATAAAGTACTACAACTAACTGGTCAGGAGTTCCTGGGTGAGGCTGACTAGACTTAAGAAGGGGCTTATGAAGGCTCAAGCTGAGCAGGAAAAGAACAGCCTCAAATGGTATTCAAGATAATTCAAACACATGTGCATATTTTGAGTGCATCTGCTTGGTGTCTGCAGTACTCTAAGTGAAGGTTTGTTTGTGTACGTGTGTGTTTTGTTTCTTAAATGCTTGTACTGCAAAACCTGACATCAGGTAAGCTACATGGGCTGCAAGGATCTAAAAGGTTGTAGGGAGTAAGGCAGTGAGAGGGCCTAGAGGACAGAGAGGAGACTTATTCCCCACTGGCAGAGGAGTTTGGCCATACCTAGGTAGGTGTGCTACCATAGGCCACACGGTAAGTGCTTGCATGGACATGGTGAGGCTAACTCAACATCTCACTGCAACACCCAGCTCACCTGACTCATCATAGTGTGTGGATGAAAGGCAGTATGGAAGGCCTCGTGGAGCTAGTCCCTTGGCCAGTCCCTGCTAGTATCAAGCGGATGAATTGTGTTCCAGCTGGGCTCTGCAGTGCTGCCCGCAAGCCTTCCCTGGACTTAGAGCCTCAGGGTTTCAGGCCTTGCTCAGTTTCATGGACAATGCCTGAGCTTGAGGGTTTTTTTTTTTTTCCCTTGCCCCTTTCAGTCCAAAGCACTAGACCAGGAACATTCCTGAGACCAGGAGGGATCTGTAGGCTGTGGAAATTGCAAGTAAGTATCTTCAGGGATACAGCAAAGGGATGGGGCTTAGTCCTGCGCCACAATCCCTGGCAGCACCCAGAGTTGCGAGTGTGGACACCAGCTGAACCTGACAGGAAGTGGAGGCAGGAGAGCTGACAGGAGGGGGCCTGCCTGAGTCTCACGATCTGAACCATCTGGGAGCTGTCTTTAGGAGCCTGAGAACATTCTGCGGCTGGCTTGATCCAGGGAACACCTGGAGACTGGGACCAGGGAGGCTAGAGATTTAACTTGCAAAAAGCGAGCCAGATCTCCCAGGACCACCGCCCTTCTCGCGTCTCCGATCACACACTTCCCCGACTCTGCGCCACGCGCACGCGCTCCGCGCAAACAACTCAGGCTACTCGGACCACGGGGCTGCGTTCCGATCGGCCTTAGCGAGGCATCTCTGGAGACTCTTCCTCCCGACGCCTTCCCGGGGCGCAAGTCGTTCATCTTTGACAAGCGATTCTCCCCGGCTGCTGACAGCCTTTCCGGCTCGGCGTCTCAAGACAAGGCCAGGCCCTGACCGCAGGACCTGGAGGACGCCGGGAACACGCTCAGGGACGCGCTCCTCGCCCGCGGACGACTCCGCGCCGCCGTGTCCAGCTGTCCACGCAGGGAGGCGGGCGAGCTCCGGCGCGCCACGAGCTGCTCCCGCCAGGCGCTGGAGCTCGAGGCCCGAACACTGGGCGGGGCCGCGGCCTCCCGCGCTCCCCATCTGCCCGAGGCCGTGTGCCCGCGTCCGCGCCCACGCCGGGCTCCGGGGCCGCGCGCGGCGATTGGGCGGTGGGCGTGACGTCACCGCGCCGGGGCTCGCCGCGGTTGCGGAGCTGGCCGCCGCCCGCGCGCCGCTCGAGGAGCGGGAGCGGGAGGCGAGCGGAGCGGGCGCGCGCCCGGCTCCTCGACACCCGCGCTCGGGACCGCTGCTTGCCCCGCGCGCCCCGCCGTCCGCCGCTCGTCGCTCTTCGCGCGCGGCCCCGGCGCGGATTTGAAAAGCCCGGTCCGCGGGCGCCTAGAGGCGGCAGCCAATCAGCGGAGCGCACTTTTCCCGCGGCTTCTGGGGGGCGGCGGCGGCCCCGGCGGCGGCGGCGGCGGGCGGGAGGCGCGGGGGCGGGGTCGGCGCCGCGCGCGGAGAGCCTCGGCCTGGCCGCGCTGCGCCCGCCGCTGCCGCCGCCGCCGCCCCCTCCCGCCGCCTTGCCCTCCGCGGCCTCGCGCCCGCCGCCGCTGCCGCTGGACAGCCACTGCCGGACAGCCGCCGGAGGATGCGACGCAGTGCAGGTCACTGGGGCCGCCGGCCAACCGCCGCGGGAACTAACCGCTGGCCGGGGAAGGGAGGTCGGGTGATCGAGGCCCGAGGGCTGAGGGGGGCGGCCTGAGGGGCTGAGGGCCGGGCGGCGCGGGCAGGCCGGAGGAGGACGCTCGGCCCGAGGCGAGGGCGGAGGGTCAGGAGGCTGAGAGGACTCGGCCTGAAGCTCCGGCCGGACGCGCACGACGGGCGACGGCTAACGGGGCGGCGGGCGCGCGGCCATGTTGGGCCCGCTGGCCGGAGCTGCACCTGTGCCGGGCCGGCGGGCGGCCGCCTTTGTTCCCGCGGCGCCGGGCGGGACGAGCGGGCCTTTGTGCGGCGCGGGGCGCGGGGCCGGGAGGCGCGGTGGGAGGGGCGGCCGGGTGGACCAAGAGGCGCTTTTTGTGTGCGGAAGCGTCCGGCGTTGACACTCGGGGCGCCGGCCGTTGGTCAGCGCGGCGCCGCGGTTGCCGGCCCTTGCCTGGCCTCGCAGGTGGAGAAGAGGCAGACTGGACCCGCGGACCCGCCTGGGGCTGTGGCCGCGCCTCACGGGGCGCGCTCCCTCGCTCGGGATGCAGCTCCCAGACTAGAAGGCGCAGGGCGCGGCGAGCCCGGACCGTGGCGACCAAGCGGCCGGCGACTGCCTTGGTTTTAAATCTCAGCATTTAAAAGAGGCTTGGCTTTGCGTTTCGGTGAGAAGAAAATGGGTGAGGATATTGCTTAGGACCCGTTGCAACACTGAGCTTTTCTTCCTTCTCAGCTCAGGAAGAGGTTTGACATTGACGACGAAACGGTATGAAATCGGATGTTCTGACAGGAATCATTTCCAGGTAGATAATTGGGGGGTGTGTATGTTATAACGGACCCCGTAAAGAGACCAGTCCGATACCGATCGAGTTCAGAATTAGGGTAAAGAAGTGCCTAAGTACTGCCAGCCTACTCACAGACTTTGAAGGCCTTGACTTTTAAAGCAATTAAATTCCAAGATTGTGAATAGATTATATTCTATTTTATGTATTTGAAATAAGATCGTCACCTTAGAAAATAAGTTATGAAACATTTTAGGAACCTGAGATTTTTAACTCCTACCTTTCCCATGTTTTAAGTTCTGGTTACATATTTAAATCACTATATATATATATATATATATATATATGTGTGTGTGTGTGTGTGTGTGTATATGTATATGCACAATTGCAAAAAGTAGCACGGAGGGAGCAAGTCCTGTAAAAACAGCTCAATGTGTTCTCCCATTCCCCAAGACCCAGAGTTCAAATCTTAACTGCCAGCTAGGGATGCAAAAGGTTCACGCCTTATACACTATTACTTTGAGTCATTTCCTTTTCTTTCCTTCCATTTTCTTCTCTGCCCAGCAGCCTTCATTTTTGGTTTGATGGCTTGTATTGTGTGGACTTAATATTTGCTTGTGAATTTGTGTAAGTTTTTGTGAATAGCTCCAACATAATTCAGAACAAAAATCCTTCCCTTTGGTCTTTGATTTTTAAGGGGCAGCATTACATTTTTAAGAGTATTTAGATAATGAATTTTTTACAAAAATGGACGATTTTAATGTCTGCAAAGATGTGATATGTTCATTGTAATGTTACAAACTATCATAACTTGAGGTCTGTGGAGACATACAGAGAGAAACAATAGGACTACAAGTGAGATTACTAGGTTATTTTTATGCAGCCCAGCTCTGCAGGGCTGTTAAGCCACTGCCTGTAGAGTTGTGAGGAACCAAAAGAAGACTGAAGTCAGAACTGGAGAATGAGTCAGGGTTAGAGACCCTGTGGGTTACTTAAGGGAGGAGTCTAGCCTTTCATCTATTCAGGCATCCTTTCCAAGAAGTACTCAGGCTTTAAAAAGGTTTACTCACATGGCAGAATGTGAACTAATTAGTTACTTCCTTTTTTACAGTTTTGACAATTCAGTGTAAAACGTGAATGTAGGTGGAATTAGACTAAGAAGTGCTGGTGAGAAGATAGGAAACACTAGTTAAATGTGCTCTATATCGAGTCTCCCTTCCAAGTAATTTTACGTGTAAAAAAACCTGCTAAAATGAGCTGAAAAATATAATTTGAATTTATTCTTCTTAATTTGGCAAATAACTTTTTTTTCTTTTTGCTGAATATTACCTTTAAGTAGTGAGAATTGAAAATAGATTTTTTTGAGACAGGGGCTTGGTAAGTGACCTACAACTTGCTATGTAGACTAGGCTATCCTTGAACTTTGAATACTTTTCCTATACTGAAATTATAAGCATGAAGGGCTTGAATATATGTATTGAAGACTGAGCTCTGTACCTTGGGCTTAGGCAAGCTCTCAACTACTGAGTTACATTTTTTAGCTCTGAAGTCTTTAGTCTTTTTTGGCAGGTTGGGGGGAGACAGGGTTTCTCTGTGTAGCTCTGACTGTCCTGGAACTTTGGAGACCAGGATGGCCCCAATTTCACAGAGATCCGCCTGCCTCTGCTTCCTGAGTGCTGGGATTAAAGGTGTGTGCCACCACTTGGTGGGCAGCCAGTATTGTGTTTTGCTTTCTGGTGAATTGCTCAAAACTATAGCGCACATAAAACTTTAGATAAGTTTGTTGGTCTCCTGACCGCACTCTCCTCTTTCTCTTCAGTCAGTACAATCAGAGTCTTTCTCTTCTCAAATTTGTGGTGTCCTGTCCTCACTCTAGGCCTTTGTGCAGGTGGTTGTAGGGCATGGGTCACTGATTGTTGTCACCTTCATAATACAACACACAGCTTTTTAATGGCTTTCTCATCTTTTGGGTAAGTTCTTGGGCACCCTGGTTTCTGCTTTCACCTTTTCATGTGAAATTAAGTTAAACTCCTAAGTGGGCATGTGACTTAGGGTAAGCAACCTATTTAATGTTAGCATATGACCTGTTTGCCTCTCTTTAAGTCATGTTGTAGAAAAGTTCCAGAGAGCTGAATATGGAAGAGAAAGGGTTGAGCTGAAGTTCCCCTTCAAGTACCTCTTAGCTTGAGTTTTATCCTGGAAGCCACGCTTTGTGGTTCCTACCTATTTTGGAAGGCTATTGTAGGCATGACTTTACTTCTTGTGTCTTCCCTTTATCTGGTCTCTCTTCTAGTTACATAATTAATAAGCCAACAAATAAATGTTTTAGCTAACAAGGCCAGCCTGTTTGCTAGTTTTTGCTCATCATGCTAAATGGAGATAAGCTCTTGACACATTACAAGTATGTAAGTGAAACAAATGACAGTAAGAAGGGTTTCTGCTGTTGTTAATTTCTTTGTATCACTGGGTTAGACAAAAAGAACATAAAGTATATATAAAAGCAAAAGATGTCACTTATGCACTAGATTAGGCTCATGTTTACAAACTATCAATATGGTTTGTTAGTTTCTCTGGAAATGGGTTATTTATAATAAATATTGTGAGAGAAAAGAGATTTAATGTTAGTCCCAGGAGATCTGACACCTTTTCTGGTTTACTCTAGCACCAGACATATGTATGTAAATAATGCATATACATACATGGAGGCAAAAGGCTTATTCACATAAAATAATAAATAAATCTTAAAAAATTTTAAATTAAAACATTTATCTTATGTGTAGGTTGCATGTATTTGCCAGTGTCCCAGGAGGTCAGAAGAAGGCATCTGATTGTGAACTTTCCAACATGGGTTTTGGGTAGCAAACTTGGGTCTTCTAGAAAAGCAGCAGGCGCTCTTAATCACTATGCTATTTCTCTGGCCCCCATCTGTCTCTCATTGTGTGTGTGTGTGTAAGTAGAGGTCAGGAAAAAATTTTCAGGCGTTCTTCCCTCGTGGTTCTAGGGTTTGAACTCAGGGCAACAGGCTTGTACTTTTATTTGCTTAGCCATCTTGTCAACCCCATTTCATCTCTTTTTGCCATGCTTCCCCTTGAGCCTTTGTATGGTTATTTTTTATTCCTCTTTTTGCCATGTGTGCATGGACTTGTTTTTTCCTATTTAATTTCAGCTATATCTTAGCTTGAGCCTCATGCTGGAAGCCTCCAGTTGTGGAAGCAGTCTGTTTGGGAAGGCTCTTACAGGTAAAGATTTTAGTATTTCTTCCCTCATCTTTTCCTGGTCTCTTATTAATCATCTGTTCTAGCTATACCTCTTGCCTGCCCTAAACCCTAGTCTCACTGTGCCTCAGACCACTGGAATACTATTTGTTCTCTCTGGAGTGTTCTACAGATGTATGTGTAACTTGATTTTTATCCTCAGGTGTTTTGCTCAAACTTCTTAGGCACTGTCACGGACTACTAGTTTAAAATACTCCCTTGATGCTAGGTGTGGTGGCTCATTCCTTTAATCCCAGCACTCAGGAGGCAAAAGTAGCAGAATCTCTGATTTTAAGACTAGTCTGTCCTACTTAGTTCTAGATCAGCAAGGACTACATAATGATACCTCAACAACAACAACAACAACAACAAAACACACTTGTCTGGTATTCTCTTCAGTTTTAGCATTTTCTCAATGGTACTTAATGTGTTAATATTTGTTTTTTCTGCCGGGTGTTGGTGGCGCACGCCTTTAATCCCAGCACTCGGGAGGCAGACGCAGGCGGATCTCTGTGAGTTCGAGACCAACCTGGACTACCAAGCGAGTTCCAGGACAGCCTCCAAAGCCACAGAGAAACCCTGTCTCGAAAAAACCAAAAAAAAAAAAATATATATATATATATATATATATATATATATTTGTGTTTTCTGTCTCCATTGAGATACCTGTGTACATGGGGACTTTTTCTCTTACCTTTCATCCTCAGTAACTAAAATAGTGTCTAATGACTGACAGATATGAACTGGCCATTTGAATGAACCATCATTTAGTCCATATGTGATTTTTGTGTTTGTTCGTTTGTTTTATTTTTCAAGACAGGGTTTCTCCTGTAGCCCAGGACATCCAGGAATTTGCTTTGTAGATCAAGCTGGCCTCAAACTCATAGAGGTCCAGCTACCTCTGCCTTCCTAAATGTGCTGGGATTAAAGGTGTGTTCCAACACTGCCCAGACTGTGTGTGGTATCTTTTTTTTTTCTTCCCAAGACGGGTTCTCCTTGTAATAGCCATAGCTTGTGCGATATCTTAAAAGTGTTGTGGATGAAGGGGTTGTGTGAGCATACTCGTCTTGGTATATGAGGAGAAAGAAGAAAGCTAAAGACTGGTAGCAGAGGGCAATGAGGAGGCCTGCAGACCAGGACTAGAATAGAGTACTAGACGTAAGAGGTGGGAGCGGGAGGAGCGGACAGTTGCAAGAGTAGCAACTGATATGTATGTATTTTTAAGTTCACTTACTTTTGTGTGTGCCCTTATGTGCTCATGCCAAGATTGATGTGTCACCATGTTATGGTGTGCATGTAGAGGTTAGAGGACAGTTAGCAGGAGTTCTTTCTGTCTACTGTGTGGGCTGCAGGAGTCAGACTAAGGTTGTCAGGCTTGGTAGCAGTCACCTTTACCTCCTGAGCTGTCTCTTGGATCCCTGATGCGGAAAGGTAAAAAGGAGAAGTGACTAGATATCATGGTAATTATAGTATGAAAATTGGTTAGTACTGGCCCCATTTTTTCCTTGCTGTAAACCAGTGAGAGGGAATAAGGGCCTAGTTTGTGACCTACCTTTGTTCTTTTTGAAAGGAGGCTTTGATCTTTTTTTTTTTTGGAAAGTACTCTAGATCCATCCTGGTAATCAGAAGAATCTGTAGGCCTAGAGGATTCCCTTTATTCTTGGACCATCATCTAGTCAGTCCTTTGTTATCCTAAGATTACACTGTTATGCTGCCATCTCTCTTGAGATAAACTTGATTTATTTCTTGAGCTTCAGTGATAATTTT